CACACATGCCCAACTCTGAACCATCACAGTGACCAGGGGAATGGAATAATCTGACTGGCCCAATCTTGTATCCAGGATTGGCTTAGTTCCATCCATGCTGCTTAAATTGAAAAAGAATTCAGGGTAGTGATGGTACATGCCTTTAATCCCAGCACTCCAGAGGCAGAGACAGGTAGATTTCTGAGTTCAAGGCCAGCCTGGACTATAGAGTGAATTCCATGACAGTCAGGATTTCTCTGTCCCCAAAAAACAAAATAATAATAATAATAATAATAATAATAATAATAATAATTCAGGGTGCCCAACTATTTCAGTCATGAAGGGTAGTGAGCCTGCGTGGGAGCATGCTTGTGTGTGTGTGTGTGGGGGGGGGGGGCAGGGTTTGGCAGACCTGAAGAATTTTAGGGAAAAAAAGAATGAGAGCAAACAAAAGAGATGGTCCTCAGTCAGCCAGACTGTCCCTGGGCATGTAGTCCTGCTGCAGCCACCAAGGCTTGGTCCTTGGGTAGGGGATTCTGGATTCCCGGTGGGAAGTCTTCCTGCCATTCCCAGAGACTAAGGACCCCACTGACAAGACAGCTAGCAGTAGCTACAGAGGCACCCAGCTAGACTCCTTCACTGTCCTTCAGGAAGCTGTGAAGACAGACCAAAGCATGACCCTTATGGGGAATGGGCAGCGGGAGAGGCTGAAAAGCTAGGACCCCTAAACCAAGGCTCTGCAGACTAGCAGCTTCAGCCATGGGATAAGGTGGCATTGTGGGTAATGTTACATATCTGCCATTCTAGACTTAATATCTTCCTGGGTTTCTCTATCACAGCCAGACGTATTCTTCCCTAAGTGTGCATTCCTTATGTGCACATCTTCCTCTTAACACATTCTTTGTTCCTTCCCATTCACCCTATAACTGAGATAGGCCGCAGGGGACCATGATTTATGCCAAGGGGCTACCCTGTGCCCCAGCAGAGCCTACAACCTGTCTGAACGTAGGCCTCTAAAAGTGCAATGGTCACTGTACAAATGCTACCTCCTCCTCCTTTTAAAATATGGAAGGCTTCACAAATTTGTGTCATCCTTGTTCAGGAGCCTTGCTAATCTTTGCACCATTCCAATGTTATTCCAATGTTATTATATGTGCTACCAAAGCAAGAATCATTCGTGTTGATTTGTTTGGGCTTTTTTGTTTGTTTACTTTGATTTTTTTGAGACAGGATTTCTCTGTGTAACAGCCCTGGCTGTCCTAGAACTCACTTTGTAGACCAGGTTGGCTTCAAACTCACAGAGATCTTCCTGCCTCTGCCTCCTGGGTGCTGGAATTAAAGGCACCACCACTACCACCCAGCCTGTCTCCAGACAATAACAGCCCAGGAAGAGCCACAGAGGGCCTAAGTACAAAGTACAGAGGGTGCAAAGCAAACCTCCATGTAGTGTTTAGAGCCAAGGCTCTTTATTTTTAATTACATGCACTATACATAAATGATTCTCCTTATTGAACATCAACAATAGATGGGATCCTCAAATGGTTCAGCCAACAAAGGAACCTACCACTAAGCCAGATGATCCTAGTTCAGCCCCAAGAACCCATATGGTGGAAGGAGAGAACTGACTCCTGCAATTTGTCCACATACATACACAAACAAATGTTAAATTTTAAAGACTATGTCAGCCACACACACACACACACACACACATATAGTTGAAGCCACTTGATTTCCTTCTTCTCAGTTAGATCTTCTCTCAAAGGAGCCTCAGTTGTCCATTTGGGGTACAGCTACAAAAACAATCATAAGTAAAATACTTATATATGTCACTGGGCATGATGGTACATGCCTTTAATCCCAGCACTTGGATGTTGGGGGAGTGGGGGATCTCTGTGAGTTTGAGGCCATCCTGGTCTACATAGTGAGTTCCAGGCTTGCCAGAGCTACATAATAAGATCCTGTCTAAAAACAAAAACATACATGTCAATATGTATACACGAATGTCCTAATATGGAAGCATACAGACATCACTGAGTTGACATTTTTTGTTGTTGCTGGGTTTTAAGGCAGAGTATCATGTAGCCCAAACTGTCTTTAGACGTATCATGTATCAAACCAAACCTTGAACTGCTGGTTATCCTGCTTCCAGCTCTGAAATGCTGGGATTACTGTATTACCGTCACATTCTTCTTGTGTTGACTTCTTTTAATTGGTCCAAAGGGTTCAGGGTGAGTTAACTCTCTTTAACCTCTGCCTCCAGGAACTAATCCCCTGCCAGCTCAGTCCACTGGACAAAAAGGCTTCAGTGTTTCTTTTAATTGTTACTAGTCCAGGAGTCAGCAAACCTTGTCTACAATGGGCTTAGTTGTGAATGTTTTAGGTTTTGCAGGTTCATGGTCTCTGGCAACTAATCAAGTCTTTCACTAAGAGAACAGCTGTTGTTGTTGACAACACATAACAGATAAGTATGACTACATGTCAATAAAACTTTATTCCTAGACACCAATTTTAATTTTGAGTACCATCACTCCTTAGTACTAGGGATTGATAGGGCTATGTGCCCATTAGGCAAGTGCTCTACTACCAAGCTGTATCTCCTAGTTAAATGCTTTTGTTGTTTATCAACTATTGAAAACTCTGAATATCATTCTTATCGATGGCTATACCACAAGAGGCAACAGGCTGCACTTGACGAGGGAGCTGTACTTTGTTACTGTCTGGTCTACACATTAAACACAAACAAGCTAATAAAATGCATAGACACTCTCACTGCTTAGTTTTTTCTGCATGTGACATGAGGAAACAAACCATTGTACGCCTTGTTTGCCTACTGTGGGACCATGCAATACCCATTCACACAGACATCCTCATTTTAGTCGTGGCAGTCGATTTCACCATAATTTCCTTAGCTCATCTCTGATTGAGGAACACTAAGGCTGTTTGTCGTCTTTTGCATTGTAGCATGTGCCATTGTAAAACTTCTGCATCTATTTGGGTCTTTTCTGAGACATAGACAGCACACCATATCACTTACCTAGTTCAGGTATAAAACTCAGGGTGAGAGTTTTTACAGATTTAGACCTTATCTGCCAAACTCCCTATCTAGCCCTCATCTATGCCCCACCATACTCTTGCAGCTTTTGTCCACCATGCTCTGCTTTCTGTGTCTGTAGATTGCTTGTTTGGGGCATTCATACTCATGAAGAGTATTTTGTGAGTGGCTTCTTTCACTTAGGAGGGTTGTCAAGATTTGTCTGTGTACCACGTGTCAGCTTTTCTTTTCTTATTTTTTTTTAACAGCTGAATGAACAAGATTCCATTTTGTGGCTATGCAGTTATTTTATTTATCCACTCATCCATTTCTGGGACATTTAGGTTGTTTCATACTTTGGGTTATTATAATAATGTTTCTATGAATATTCATGTATGAGTTTGTGTTCTTATTTGCGCTTGCCATATATCTTGGAGTGGAATTAATAAGCTGTATGGTAATTCTTTTTATTTTGTTTGGCTTGAAATAAGTCTCATGTAGCCTGCACTGGCTTCCAGCTCACTATGTAGCCAAGCATGACCTTGAACTCCTGACTCTCCTGCCTCTACCCCCTCAGTGTTGGAATCTCACCAATTACTCGCCACATACATGGTAATTCTGACCTTAGATGTTGAAGGATTTCTAGGCTGCTTTCCTAAGTGGCTGCACTATTCTACATTCTCATTTAAAATACATAAGCTTCCGGTTTCTGTCTTCATCTGTCTTTTCTTTCTATATAGCTATCGTAGTAGATATGAAGTTTCTCACTGTGGGGGGGGGTATAATAACCAAATATACTCTGAGATCTGTTTTTTTTTCCTTGTAGCCCTTGGGAAGTTTTCCATGCCATTACACACATCTCCTGGTGTTGGCTGCTGGCTGTCCCCAACCAGTACACCACCAGCCTCTTGTTTGTAGGGAAAACAGTTTGATTCCTCTTACATTTTTTATTACATTTATTCACTTATGTATTTATTTACTCTGTGAACATGGGGGTAGGTCAGAGGACAATGGGCAGGAGTCAGTTCTCTTACTGTATGGGTCCCAGAGCTCAAACTCAAGTCTTCAGGCTTAGCAGCAAGCACCTTTTCCCACTAAGCCCTCTTGCTCATCATTCTTGTTCATCAGCATGTGGAGGGGAAGCATTTCTTGAAGATAGTCTTTGGAGTTGCTAGATTGCCAGGTACATTTGTTGGGGCTGGAGGCATGGCTCGGTGGTTAAGTGCACTGGCTGCTCTTCCAAAGGACCTGGGTTTGATTCCCAGCACCCCCATAGTGACTCATAACCATCTGTAACTCCAGTTCCAGGGGATCTGACACCCTCTTCTGGCCTCTGTGGGCACCAGGCACACACACGGTGCATGGATGCACTTATCTACCCAGTTACAGTCCTTTTTAATATTACCAACCTCATACTTTGCATTTCTCCTAAAAATTACCTAACTCATATTTATATTTCTGTTTATTACACACTTCACAAGGTTGTGTCTGATTAAATGAGATAAATACAAAATAACTTTGGAACCATGTCTACTTTGCCCCATGGTTTTCCCTGTCTTTGGTGAACCAACCCTAAGGGTGCACAGGTTAATTTGTTGTAAGAAGGAAGTTCCAGGTTCAAAATCCACAGTCACTGGCTTACCACTAACCCCAGCGTCACACTTCATTTGGTTTGGTGTGAGTGGCACCTCCCAAGTCACTCTTCCCAGGCAGTTCTTGGCAGACCGCCTACCCACATTCTTGTTCATCAGCATGTGGAGGACGCGATTTGCTTTCAGTGGGGCTTCTAGTGGGACCATTTGGGAGAAACTTACATTATTTAATTAAGTGTGTGTATGTGTGTACAAGAGAGAGTGTATGTATGTGTGTATGAGAGAGAGAGAGAGACAGAGAGAGACAGAGAGAGAGAGTGTGTGTGTGTGTGAGAGAGAGAGAGAGAGAGTGTGTGTGTGTGTGAGAGAGAGAGAGAGAGAGTGTGATGTATGTGTGTATGAGAGAGAGACAGAGACAGAGAGAGAGTGTGTGTGTGTGTGAGAGAGAGAGAGAAAGAGTGTGTGTGTGTGTGTGAGAGAGAGAGAGAGAGAGAGAGAAGAGAGAGAGAGAGAGAGAGAGAGTGTGAGGGGGCCAGGGCAGAGAGGCCAGAAAAAGGCACTGAATCCCCTGGTGCTCAAATTACAGGCAGTTGTGAGCTACCCAACATGGGTGCTAGGAACCAAACTGGGATTGTCCAGAAGCACATTGAGTGTTTTTAACAACTGAGTCATTGCTTCCAGAACTGGAAACGTTTTCTAAATGGACCTACTTCCTCCTTACCCTGAAAGAACTGATTGGAAGTTTTGTATGGTAGTGCACAAGTTCAAGGCCACTCTGGGCTATGTAGCAAGATCCTATCTAAACAGGCAGCTTGTTTGGGAGCAGGGTCCTAGCATCATGAACACTCCCCAGTGAGGGGCTGCCATCTGGGTAAAGCCCTGTTTCTGCAGAACTTTTCAGCTTCAGTGTGAATTTGAACTCTCACCAGGCTAGGCCTATGTGTTTGCATTTCTTAGCAACTCTTCAATGATAACACCCATGCAAGGACACACTTGGGGGACTACTGCTTAGCCTGAGGGGATTTCTGTAGGTCTTTTCTTCCCATCATGATCTCCACCTCTGGGAACAGTCCTGGTGTGCCCCCCCAAAACCATTCCTAGGAATCACTTTTGAAACTCCTCTGTATCCCAACTCCAGGGGTGAAAGATGGCTTGTCACCAGAATCCACCCAGTGGATTCTCTGAGCTCATGAGGTCTGCTGACTGGTCTGGGGAGAACATAACCAAGGATGAAGCAAGAAGAGATCTGAGTCCTCCTGGCTCTGTTTATTCCTGGCACCCAGCCACTCAGAATCCAAAACTTCTCAGTGCCATGAAACAAAAACTGACCCCCTACTCCCGCACACTTTTGTCCAAGCTCATTTTGGGTGGGTATGTGCCTTGTGCAGTCAACAGAGACCTGACTGTGTGGGATCTTATTGTGCCTCCCGGGCTCTGGAATGTGACCCCAGCTCATTCCCTGGATGCTTCTTTCATCAGGCCCATGGTTGAGTGGCAGGTCTCTAGAGGTCACTTTGTCCCATCCCCTCCTTGTGTGAGTGGGAG